GGGTTCTTGATACCGGTTGTGGTTACCACATTTGTTCTAATGTGCAGGGACTAAGAAGAAGTAGAGACGTGGAGCATGGAAGAATAAATCTAATCATGGGGAACAGAAGATCGTCGCCTGTGACCAAGATTGGAGTGTATTCTTTAGTGCTTAGGAATAGTTTATCTTTAGATTTGAACAATTGTTGCTATTCGCCAGAAATGGCTAGAAACATCATTTCTTTTCATGGTTTGTTTAGACAAGGTTTTAGATTTTCTTTTAATAATGAGAATGGTTCTATTTTAGCTTATCTAAATGGTGTCTTTTACTTTGAAGCTATACCATGTAATGGAATTTATGAAACTGTTATGATTGTTGATAACTTAGGAAATGATGTTTTGTACTTGGATTCTTCCAATAGTATGGATAAGGCATCCTTATGGCATTGTCATCTTGGACATGTCAACAAGAAACGCATAGCCCAACTCCAAAAGGATGGAGTGTTGGAGTCATTCGACCTTAGGGAAGATGACACATGCGAGTCTTGTTTACTTGGAAAGATGACTAAGTCACCCTTCGCTGGTACGTGCGAAAGGGTGAGGGTCTATTGGACCTCATACATACCGATGTTGTGGACCGTTTAGATCTACCACGAAGGATGGAAACCGCTTCTACGTGACTTTTACCGATGACTATAGTAGATATGGGTATATCTACTTAATCAAGCAAAAGTCAGAAACTTTTGAAAAGTTCAAAGAGTTCAAGAATGAAGTGGAGAATCAATTGGGCAGGAAGATCAAGATGCTTCGATCCGATCGAGGAGGAGAGTACCTAAGTCTTGAATTCCACGATTATCTCAAGGAGTGTGGAATAGTTTCACAATTGACGCCACCTAGGACACCACAATTGAATGGTGTGGCAGAAAGGCGTAATCGAACCTTGTTGGACATGGTTCGCTCTATGATGAGTCGTGCTTTGCTATCTATCTCTTTTTGGGGGTATGCCTTAGAGACTGCCGCCCATATCCTTAACCGAGTCCCTACTAAGAAGGTTGCCAAAACACCTCACGAGATGTGGACGGGGAAAGCTCCTTCGTTAGCACATATCAAGGTTTGGGGTTGCGAGGCTTTCGTAAGACGAGATACTCACGACAAGCTCGAACCTCGTAGTGAGCGATGTATTTTCATCGGCTACCCGCAGAAATCCTTTGGATATCTCTTCTATAGACCGAAGGACAATGTTGTCTTTGTTGTGAGGAGAGGAGTTTTGAGAGCGAGAACTCATAGGCCAAGGAGACAGTGGGAGGCAAATCGATCTTGAAGAGATTCAAGAGTCGATAGATGAAGGAACCTCAACCGCTGGCACTCAACCCGAGGAGGAAACTCCGGTTGAACCGATTGACATATCATTACCTCTTAGACGTTCCGAAGAGTTAGGTTTCAACCCAGTTGTATGGTTTTCATATTACTACCGAAGGGGACACGTATATTAGTGATAGTACACTAATAAACCTTGATGAACCTAATAGCTATAAGGAAGCCATGGCAGGCCCGGAGTCTGCGAAATGGAAAGAGGCAATGGATAGCGAGATCCAATCCATGTATGATAACCAAGTTTGGAATTTGGTTGATAATGTGCCCGGACGTAAGACCGTTGGGTGCAAATGGATCTTCAAGAAGAAGACCGACGTGGATGGAAAGGTACACACGTTTAAAGCATGATTGGTAGCGAAGGGCTTTACTCAAACTCCCGGAGTTGACTATGAAGAGACCTTCTCACCAGTTGCGAAGATAAAATCTATTAGAGTGATGCTAGCTATTGCCGCATTTCATGATTATGAGATTTGGCAAATGGATGTCAAGACCGCTTTCCTTAACGGGAAGTTGGCTGAGGATGTTTACATGGCTCAGCCAGAGGGGTTTGTGGATCCGAAGCATCCGAATAGAGTGTGTAAGCTTGAGAAGTCCATTTATGGACTAAAGCAAGCGTCTCGCAGATGGAATCTTTGCTTCGATGAGAAAGTCAAAGAGTTTGGATTTGTACGAAGCGAAGATGAATCGTGTGTATATGTCAAAGCCAGTGGGAGTGTAGTAAGCTTTCTCGTTCTATATGTCGATGACATATTACTCATAGGAAACGACGTCCCGACTCTGCAGGAAGTTAAGTCCTGGCTCGGGAAGTGCTTCGCTATGAAGGACCTCGGAGAGGCTTCCTATATTTTGGGAATAAGGATAGTAAGAGAGAAGTAAGAGACTAATAGGACTTAGTCAGAACACTTACTTAGAGAAGGTACTAAAACGTTTTAGTATGGAAAACTCGAAGAAGGGAGAATTACCGATACAAAGCAATGCCAAGTTGAGTAAGACTCAAAGTCCGAGTACCGAAGCGAGATAGCTGAAATGAGCCGAGTTCCATACGCTTCCGCAGTTGGCTCAATCATGTACGCTATGACTTGTACTCGCCCTGATGTAGCCTTTGCTTTGAGCATGGTTAGTAGATATCAAGGGAACCCTGGCAGAGCCCATTGGTTGCGGTGAAGAATATCCTTAAGTACCTTCGGAGGACGAAGGAATGGTTCTTAGTCCTTGGAGGGAGTGATGACTTGAAGGTGCGAGGGTATAGTGACGCCAGTTTTCAGACCGACAGGGACAACTACCGTTCGCAGTCGGGCTGGGTCTTTACCCTGAATGGAGGAGCAGTAACTTGGAAGAGTTCCAAGCAGGAAACCGTAGCTGATTCAACGTGCGAATCAGAGTACATCGCAGCGAGCGAAGCGTCGAAGGAGGCAATATGGCTAAAGAACTTCATTGGTGATCTTGGAGTTGTACCTGCCATAAAGGAGCCCATGGAGATTTTCTGTGATAATGAAGGTGCGGTTGCCTTGACCAAGGAACCGAGAGATCATGGTAGATCACGACATATCGACAGAAAATATCACTTTATTAGACATCGTGTAGAAGAAGGACAACTCGTAGTGAAGAGGATATCATCAGAAGATAACCCAGCAGATCCGCTTACGAAGGGACTGAGTAGGGTTAAGCATTTGCAGCATGCTAGGAGTATTGGGCTGAAGGATGATATTAGCATAGATTAGATAGTATTAGAAACGTGTAATAGATAAATGTAATTAACATTTGATGATTAAATAAAGGAGTTTTATTTATAAGTAATGTTACTATCTTATGTTAATTGTTTAACTATTGTTTCACTTTGCATGTTTTGACTTCCAGAATAATTGAGTTTATTAAGAATAATCGAATTGTTCAAATAGTCCACAATCGTTCATATGTCGGAAGTAGATATGAATGAAGATTGTCATGAATAGGTGTGTAGAGTGTCTAAATGGTGTTAGACATAGCAAAAGATTGCTGCAACGTTCATGAGTGCTTATGAACTAGGTTTGAGCATTGGAACAAACCCACGCTTGCTGGAATCACCTTATGGAATGTGATAGTAAATGGGTGATCGCAAGACGATAATATCATATAGTCTTAAAACCTAGATATATGGTTTGTTATTGGTTAATTGATTGTACATTGATAATGCGAAAACGCATTGGTAACTCGATGTTATAAAACGCATTGTTGTGTGTAGTTGGTTAATGAATAAGTAAATGCATATAAGTCGAAGTTTATCTGTAACTTTTATCCTAAGAAGGAAAAAGTGATATCTCGGCCGCTCGATGATTTGATTTGACTTATGTGCCGGGCCCGGTCAGAACTGAATTGATGTGTTCGATTAAGTTCTATGTCAAATAAATCGGAGATCGAGAAACCAAATGCTAGACTAACTATTCCATAGTATTGTCAGCATGATATCTAACAGAGGACTGTACGATCCCTTATCTAAAGGACAAGATTGATTAGATCAGAGTTTGACAGCGTCTTTGAGAGCTACGATTGCAAATCGGAATGTACCTGCGCATATAGTTACTAGACTTATCCAAGTGGGAGACTGTTGGAATAGTGTCTAAGGCTGCAACTATATTAGGCAAGTATTTGACCCGATTGTGCATGGTCCTTTTGGGTTGCCTTCACCATAGCAACTTGGTAGGATGATTTATTATGAGAGAATAGATATTATTAATATATTATGAGAATAATATAAGGAATAATAATATAGTTATTTGATTAATATAAGTCATAGATTAATTAGTATTAATTTGGTGACTTAAAGAGATTAATTAAATAAGAGGGTATAAACTGTCAATTGTTTGACAGTTACACTTTAAACTGTAAATCCTTATGGGAGATAGGGTGGACGATTTCTAGGGCTAGGATAAGCCTTAAAATCGTCCAAAGGATATCTAAAGTAAGGATATGGATTGACTTAAAGTCTAAGTTATCCAACTAGGGTTTAAGCTGTAACCCTTAAGGAGTCTACAAGTATAAATAGACCCTATGGCTGAGGGAATTCGACACATGATCTAAGGTAGAGAACCCCTGGCCGAATTCCTCCTCTCTCCTCTCTCTCAAATCATCCTCTTTGCTAGTTGGTGTTTGTAAGCCATTAGAGGAGTGACAATTGTGACTCTAGAGCTCCAAGACAACAAGATCAAACAAGAGAATCAAAGGTATGTTTCTAGATCTGATTTTGTGTTGTTCTTACACCTAATAAGTCATTAGAAGCCTTGGATTCAAAGCATGTTTAATAGAGAAACCTAGATCCAAACATTAGGGTTTGTATGCGCACTTAGGAATGTTCTTATGTACAAAACCCATCAAGAACACACTTGCATTAAAATTATATATTTAATGCAATGGACGATGTTGTTTACTTTTTACTATTATTCTGTGTTGTGATACTATACATGACATCCTCCACCCCAGAACGTTTCCTCCGTTCTTGGTTTTGGCGCGTTCTTTAAACACCTGTGGAGACGAATTATCGCTCTAACAAATAATGAAAATTAAAAATGAATTTTTTATAAATAATTCCATAGAAATAAAACTGGGACATCATTTTGCGGATAGACGCGACTTGTCGTCCCCATAGCTTTCTATGCCCGGAATTACGAGAGCATGCCCCTTCGTTTTATTCATGAATGCTCAATCAACATTCTCACTCTTTCTCCATCGATCGAACGACAATTCTCCCGTGGCGACTTTCTCACCTCCCAATCACCGCAAATCTTCTTCATCTGTCTTGATCCTCATGTTAGTTGCCGAAGACCACTGATGATTAGCTTCAACTCCTGATGATTAGCTTCAACTCCGATGATTCTAACTACCGGCTTAATTTTCATCTCCAGTTACGAATTCTAACGAATATAAGCCCCAGTTCGGCGACCTAGGTTAGTAATCCTCTGTTTGAAACTGGAATTGGGGTTTATGTTAGCAATTACATGTTTGAAACTAGAATTGTGATTTTCTTTCACAACTTCTCGTTTTGAAGATGCAATACTGATAAACTGTAACCACATCAATGATTTTTCTGTTGATTTTCCTTCTAGAATTGTGGATTTTGCTTCTGCGATTAAATGTATTTTTTTCACCGAGATATGTTTGCGGCACCGATCACTGTCATGACAACCCCATAATTAGATATGATTCTCTTTCTGTATTGACTGTGCTTCTTGACCTATTGAAATTGATGAAAATGTTGATTATTAATTGATATAGACTTTACCATATAAACATCAAGTCAAGTAATATATTCACAGTTATGATTATGAAAGATTGTCTATTAATGAAGAATTTCTTACTGTATTTCATTTGTTATAATGTTCAATAATTAGGAACTTTTTCTATATGAAGAATTTGTTATAATGAAGAATTTCTTACTGTATTTCATTTGTTATAATGAAGAATTTCTTACTGTATTTCATTTGTTATAATGTTCAATAATTAGGAACTTTTTCTATATGAATTTAAGATGATTGTAGGTTATTGCACTCATATGAAGAAACTGGTTCAAGCAACTAATTTTTGTTATGGTGTTTTGGTTGGTAACTGAGCAGGTTATTTGAAGAAAATTAGTTAACAGGCATAATTCCATTTACACTATTTTGAGGTCTTGTGATTTTCATTAGTTATTATGACATTTTATATAAGCAAATGAAGTATTTCATATTTATTTTCATCTAAAAGTTTGGTTGTATATGAATTATGAAACAAATGATTAGACATGAAATTGATAAGTGTTGATGTCCCTTCAAACATCAACAATCTTACATCACTTAACCCTTACATAAATATTGTATTTTGACTTGTTATGTGTTGATTAATAGACATCATAAAGGAAATCAAATTTTGTCCCTCTTCCCTTTATTGGTCGCTGGTGCACAAAGGAAATCTTTCTGAGAAGGAAGCTAGAGAGTACTTTCAACAGCTTCTTGATGTTGTTGCATATTGCCTTGAAAAGGGTGTGTATCATAGAGATTTCAAGGTGAGAAAAAGGATTAGACTTTAGACTTTAGAATATAATTCTTTTATGGTGAAAAGATTTATTATTATTATTATTATTTTCTGCTAACAATCTTTTTTGTAATACGTAGCCTGAAAATAATCTTCTTAATTCTGAAGGAAAGCTGAAGGTTGCTGATTTTGGACTTAGTGCATTCCATTCCACCACCATGCTTATTCCATTCCTTTGTTCATTCCATTCAATCATCACATCTCTTTATGTATATCGATGATATTGGGTTATTATTTAACTTGATGTAGAAGAACATCTTAATATAAAAAGTCAAGGAAACAAGGCTTTTCCCAAGAAGTCCAAATTTTTCACAAATTCCCTTAATTTATTTTTACCTTATGAATCCTCAAGCTTGAATATTTTTCAAACATCATTTTCTGATGGCCTAAAATACCCTTGTTGACTTAGTTTTGACTTAATCCAATTTTAATCGATTAAGCAAAAAAACATGGCTTAATGTATCAAGACACTAACTTTTTACCTATTTGCCCTTCTTTTTTTCTTCCGAACTTCTCTCATGTTTAAAATGATTCATATTGTGAAATTTGTTTGTGATGGTAAAATGATCATTTAGTCTCATCCAGACTGTTTATTCAGTCAGACTGTTTATTCAGTCTAGAAAAGAAACAAATGGATTAGAACTTAGTAAAAAATGTCAACTTTTTACCTAATTACCCTTCAATTTTCATCCTAACTTTTTACCAAATTACCCTTGTTTGTATGTTAATGTTAATAATATTGTATATAGGGCTGGAGATTTAGTTGGACCAAGTACTGATGCATAATTAATTAGTGACGTATCCTCTTCAGGTTCTGCTAAATTGTCAGATCTTCATAGAATATTAAGTAATATTGTACCTTCAGACATGTTATTAAATTTTCCTACTTTTTACTTTGTTATTTTCTAATTTTTTTTTTAATAATTTTGAACTAATTTTTGACTGTGATAATGTCCAGGTGAGGCAGTAGATCCTGATGGAGGTAATAATTTTGAGCATTTTTTTTAATCACTGAATTAAGGGGACAAAATCTAGGTCTTTATTTGTCATTTGTACAAAAGACGTGAATGCCCTTCTTATTTTTATTAACAAAAAGAAAGATATGGGAGAATGTTTTTAGGGCTATTTTTATGATGAGGACATTTATGTCTTCTACACAAAGCGAGTCCCTATTCCATTTTTTTTGTGGGAAAAAAATTGAAAATCATGTTCTATTGAATTATTTTTATTTTATATTCTTTATGATTTTGATTGACCTTAATAAAAATGTAGTGTTTTTGACTCACATATAGTTGTAGGTTTAATTATAAAGTAATGATTACCAAAACCTCCCAAAAGCAAATGGTTGCAATTATTTCATGATAATTGGAGTATGACTTTTTATTTTTAATCACATTGATTTAATTTTAATTTTAAATTTTTGTTTATATAGGTTTAGGAACAAGTGGCATCCCATTCGCCTGAGGTAAGGGATGAAGGTTGACTATTTTTATTTTATTATTTTATTAATTTTTTTAAAAGTAAAAAACACCAAGAAATAATATTATCTTGACTACAGGGGCAATACAGTCCAGAAGAGTTAATGGAGCTGCTACAGAGCCCTCCTTTCCGCCAACAAATAGATTCTTTCACTTATGTGAGCATCTCTTCCTTTTTCTCCTTTGTTATTCAAGGGTAGTTTTGTCATTTGTCAGAAATTTAAATTTCAAAGTGTATGCAGGTGCTGAAGACAAGTCAATTAGATTTGAGTCAATTTGGAGTTGACCCAAGTAAATGTAAACAATTTACAACCTTTTGTTACAAGTTGTCATATTTTAAATTACTAAGTGATTTTACCCTTTGTGTAGGTCCATAGTACCTTTGGCAGCTTGGTGGGAAATTTTCTGGTTACCAAACAACAGGAACTTGTTTTCAGCTTGGTGGGAAATTCATATTGCTACATTTAGAAAGTAATTTTCAGGTGGCATCTTGGGAAATTTCCAACTCCTTGGATGTCAAATATGACCTTGTTGTTTTTGGAGGTTGGTATTCTTTTTTTTTTTTTTTTTTTTTTTTTTTTTTTTTTTTTTTTTTTCCTTTTTAAAAAAATTGAAAATAAGAAATTAATTATTTGAAGTTTTCAGGAATTATTTTGACTTTTTGTTTAACCGAAAAGATGGTATTTGGTAGATAACTGGTGAAGTTATTGCAATGCAAGTAGGATGCTAAAAACCCACAAAACAAAGACTGGGAATACTGGGAAATTATAAAGAAAGAAAATCAGCTCTATGGGTATACCTATAGAGATGACATGTTGTTTCTATAGGTGGATCTATAGAGACGATATGTCGTTTCTATAGGTGTATCTATAGAGACGACATGTCATCTCTAGTAGAGCATCTACCACAACGACAGTCGTCACTAAAGGGTATGACGTGTTGACTCTACATCTTTATATATAGAGATGACATGTTGTCTTTATAGATACACCAATAGAGACGACATGTCATCTCTGTAGTTTCATCTATGGAAATCAGCACCGTATAGCGACGACGAACCAGAACAAGATGACATGTTATCTCTAAAGGATACCTATTGCGATGATATTTATAGCAACGGCCAAAAGGATCTTTTGCGGCGGGGCTATAGAGACGAAAGGTATAAGGACGGCATGTCGCCCCTGACACCTATAGGGACGACTTTTTTAACCTATAGAGACGACATTTGTCGTCCCTATAGGTCCCGTTTCTTGTACTATATATATATATATATATATATATATATATATGACGGTTTTGTATTTTTCTTATTTAATTTGAGGGTCAAACATTTTTTTTTCATTCACCCAAAACCACAACTACGATCAATGTGAGTTATCCTAATAATGATAGGAGATAATGTGAATAATAAGAAATAGTAACAATAGTAACGAGGTTGATACACAAACACAACTCTCATACATTAATAAGAAATAGTAACAATAGCAACGAGGTTGATACACAAACACAACTCTCATACATTATTCATATTAATCATATATAATGTTTAATTCATTTTGTCCCATATGATTGTAATCTCCATCATAAAAGAAGTAATGTTACTCCACGATATAATAGTTGTTACCTTAATTAAATTATCATTTTGTTTGTGTTTAATTTCAACACTTTGTAAAAATGGAACGTGAGAGAAGAGTCGGCAGGTGCCATCATTTTATTATTAATTAGCAAATTAAAATATTAATAATCAGTAAATAGTTAATAATAATAATAGTTACTTAATCATAATATATATAAAAAAGAATTTAAATAAAATAAATTAGCCCCCTTTAATTTTCATTAGCCAGCTTCAACTAGTTTTATATCCGTCCGGTGAACAGGTTGACAAATGTATAACCAATAATGTTGATTTATCTTATTTTTATAAGATATTAATTTTATTTTTTTATATTAGTTATGTAAATGACAAGTTTATCCAATTATATTTCAATCTTTTGAAAGTAAATAGTAATATACTTTTGCAGAATCAAATTTAGCACACATTACTATACACTTAAAAAAGGTTAGAATGCTATTCAGACACATGACATGAATGATTATAAACTTAAAAAAGGTTAGAATGCTATTCAAACACATGACATGAATGAAGAGTTAACTCTTAGTTATCATCTTCCAATTTTTGTCAAATATTTCTAATTTTATAAATGCCTTATATGAAAATTTTAAATTATTTTCTTATTAATTGATTGTTTACAAAAAAATTATCACTTTTTAACCGATGGTCACAAAGAACTAATAACAGCTTTAACATGAATTATGTAATTTTTTTCTTCCACAAGGACCAATTACCCAAAGTTTTTCTTTATAGGGACAAATTTTGTAATTTTATTTCATAGGGACCAATTATGTATTGCCTATATCAAAGCATTTAACCAAGGTAAAAAACTTAATAAGTAAGGTGTGGTATCAAACAAAGAACATTGTTAAGGTTCATTTTCTATCAACAAACGTAAAAGCAAGTGTACATCCAAATATTCCTACCAAAGTATATAATTTGATAATATTTTTTTTCTTATTAAACATATGTACTTTCGATTTACATTAGTTAAGAAATAAAAAAAAAATATAGATAACCAAATTCAATCCAATAGAATATTAAATGTATAACAGCTTTAAGATGAATTCATAGAAAAAAAACATAATACTGCAGTATCAGCTCCTGGGGCTTAAGTTTGGCTTGAAGGAGTCTCACCAAATGCCCATGAGCTTCTGGATTGAGTGGTCGTCCCTTACCCAACCAGAAATCAAGCGGGTAAGAAGGAGAGAGCAATTTTAGCCCCATAACCACAAGATGGGAATACCGCCTCGGGCGCCTATGGTCCAGCCTTGCAAGAACACGATATCCAGCTCCACCCAGCCTACAAAGCAAACGGAAATCACGCACTGAATAACGGTGAGCAACAGTCAGCAACTCGTAGGGGTGGAAAGTGCTTAATAACGCTTTTTAATGGATACTGGGGGGAGATCGACTGTCAAATCTCGAACCCTAAAGTTATTCGTGAATTCCGCGGACCCACTCCTTGATATTAGTGATTTCTCTTTCGAAATAACCACATGCGGAGGTCAATCAACTTATTGGTCTTATGATATATCTTAGTATCGAGGATGATACCAAAGATCTGTATTTGTTTATAAACTCTCCTAGCGGATGGGTAATACCGGGAGTGGCTCTTTATGATACTATGCAATTTGTGCAACCAGATGTACATACAATATGCATGGGATCAGCTGCTTCAATGGGATCTTTTATCCTGGTCGGAGGAGAAATTACTGAACGTCTAGAATTCCCTCACGCTTGGCGCCAATGAGGCTTTTATTTGAGAGAAAAAAGAAGACTATGCCTTCGCCATATGAAATATGAATATTAAGTAATAATAGCATGACACTTTGAATTCGATATAAGAAATTTTGTTTTCAAAACATTAGATTATGTATCGAGAGAGTAATATTAGAAAAAGGTATTTCCAATTTTCTTATCGGAAGTCCAGTTCAGCGTCACAAACTTTTTTTCACACCAGAGGTCTCTTAACAATATTAGAGCGAAAAAAAAACAAGATTCTTTTTTCCTTAGTTTATTTGATCAAATAAAAAAGCAATTTTGGGATTGCTTAATCACAAACAAATCACAGATAAAAAAATATAATAAAATAAATATATAAAGCAACGGAGCCATCATAGTATTTTTGAATTACTCCGAAAGGAAGGGTGGTAAGTTGATCATTTAACGATCGGGGTCTGGTCGATCCTATTTTTTCTTTATTTGATGTAAGGTAAGGGTCAATTTTATTGTAGAGCCGTATGCAATGCATAATGCCCATACGGTTGTTCGATTCTATCTTTTTTTCTTGTTATTATTTTATCTTTGTTTTATCTTCCCTTTATCATGAGAATTAAAGAAACCTTTTATTTTCTTATATCATCAGGGTAATGATCCATCAACCTGCTGGTTCTCTTTCTAAAGTAGCAACGAGAGAATTCATCCTGGAAGTGGGAGAACTGCTGAAACTACGTAAAACCCTGACAAGGGTTTATGTAAAAGGAACGGGCAAACTCTTGTGGGTTGTCTCCGAAGACATGGCGGTTAAGGTAACGACTTCGGGCATTTCCAGCTACCATAGTGTGACAGGTGTACAAGGCCCGGGAACGGATTCACCGCCGTATGGCTGACCGACGATTACTAGCGATTTCGGCTACATGCAGGCGAGTTGCAGCCTGCAATCCGAAATGAGGATGGGTTTTTGGAGTTATCTCACCCTTGCGGGATCACGACCCTTTGTCCCGGCCATTGTAGCACGTGTGTTGCCTAGGGCATAAGGGGCATGATGACTTGACGTCATCCTCACCTTCTACCATGCCTAGGTCTTGTTAATGTACTTTTTCATCATTTCTAACCTTTTCCCACATTATTAGAGCTGGAACATCACTCCACACTCCTCACTTCACTCACTTCTCTCATTTTACCAAAAGATCAAACACAACTTTGTCTCACTTTCTCTCTCTAAAAATTCGAGATTCAAGGCTGATCATCAAGCTTTCTTACTCTCTTGGTAAGTATAATTCATCCTCCTTGTGATAATTACACATCATTTTACTCAAATCATTGATTGCTTACACAAACTCCATCATTATAGTGTTAGATTCTTGAATCTTCAAAGTAATCCTTCAAGTGTTCTTGAGTTGAACACTTCTCTTCTCCAACATCCATCCACCAAAATCATTCAATGTGAGTTCATACCCCTATACTTTCATATTTTCTTAAGTTTTAAGAGGGGGGGGGGGTAATACAAGTTAAGTCACCAAGAACACAACAAAATGTTTCTAACAGCTTTCATCAGAAAATTTGGACTCCATTCACGGACTGTTTTGATCAACTAAAACATTTTAGTTTTAAAAACTGCACAAGGTACACGTATTTCAAGTTCTTATCTTTTAAATGGCTACTTGCACATCTCCATACGATTTTTCTACAATTTATGGTGAATTTTATAAAACTGCCTATCATTTTAAGAACCAATTTGGACCAGTCTGTGTTTATGGACATTTCCACCTAAGTTGGAGGTCACTAAAAATCATGGGAAAATTTATGAACAAACTAGACTCATTTTAAAAACTCCCAGAATTTACAGATTCTGATTTGGATCTGTTATGAATTTTCTATAAATTTTCTAAGAATAATAATGGAATTTGTTAATAACAGAGAAATACTAACAATTTCATTTCACCTTGTAACATGTCGAGCAAGGTGTACATTTTTATGGGAATATATGTTTTTCAAATAAACGACATTTTTTCTTGGTATATAGACATGCATCGGTTAATAAATGGATTTTGATATGTATATAAAAGATAACAAATTGTTATAATCAAAGTACATCCATTTTATGCGAACATTTGAATAAACTATGTTAAATATGGTTTACGTACTTTACCAATACTACCATTGTTCTGATAAACTATAATAGGTATAGTTTATGATACATTACATAAAACACTTATACAAACAGGGTACATTTATACAGAAAGGGATTTCATCACATTACACATAAATTTGTTAATGACTTTGTGAGACATTCGCTTCACATTTACCAATAAGTCATATATTGTAACCAGAGTCTCCTGGAGGGAGAGTGTGATAGTTGTATATAGATCTATATTGCGATTGACAAGCCTACACCTTAACTGCATGCAATAGTTAGACCGATAGGTATGGGGTGAAAAATGTCATAACATTTCCGACGCCTGAAGAACGTCGTTTCAGGCCAACTAGGTCATAACATGGTTATAATAACTCACAGAAAGTATTAACAATCATAAGAATTTATGGGAATTTTATTGAATTCAAACGCGTTTATGTTGAGTTAAACTTACATTATTTTCTATAAGTAAGAAAGATTACTTATACATTTCGGTCTTCGGATATAAGACTGCATTACACATTTTATGGAAAATATCGGATTTTTCTGGAACAAACATGACATTTACAAGAGAAAGACTTTTATCAAGTTTAAAACAAAAGCTTATGAACTCATCAACCTTTGTGTTAACACTTTTTCAAACAACTTGTATTCTTAGGAAATCACTAAACCGGTATCAAAGTGCATTTTGAGGATGAGACGTTAAAGCGTCAACAATTCATATTTTGCCAACATATTGTAATTGACTTGGAAACATGTAATTCATACGATCATGTAACTCTTTCAATTATATATATATATATATATATATATATATATATATATATATATATATATATATATAGGTTATGTTTGCTTGAATTACTATTCCCATTGTGGTTATGATACTATACATGAAGCCCTCCACCCCCGGACGTTTCCGCCATCCTTGGTTTGGGGGTGTGACACGGTAACTTTATATAATAAAATGACAGTTTTGTCCTTACTTTGCATTTAATGGCGTTTGTTTTACCTAAATCCATCATGGTTGCAATCGCAGTTGCAATGCATGTCACTTTAGAGAGAGAAAACTCCAAAGACAAAAAAATGTCTTCCAGATTGCCGAGCCAAGATCCAAATTAGGTCTCCAAACTCCAATTTTGCTCAGGCTACATTTCATCATCATCGCGTCGTCCATCTGAAGTACAAATCAACATCAACAACATCAAAAAAATTATGCGAATGCCCACAAAGAGAGAGAGAGAGAGAGAGAGAGAGAGAGAGAGAGAGAGAGATACATAGATAGATAGATAGATAGATAGATAGATAGATAGATAGATAGATAGATAGATAGATAGATAGATAGATAGATAGATAGATAGATAGACACACAGTAGTTGGTGGTGAATTGGTGTCGAAATCGTCGACTCATACTTGATCGAAGGATCAAATGGCAAGAGGAGTTGCTATCAAAGAGCCTCATCACCCTCGTCAGGGTGTCAATCGCTTGAGCAAAAAACAAAGTTACGCCTTAATATCCTCTCTATTTATATGCAGAGTTTGAAGAGATAAGGGGATACGAAAGAACCATGGAAGAGAACGTGGGTAGAAGAAGGGGAAAATTGCAGGTTAATCTCCCGTTGTAAAACGTGGGGGAAAAAAAGGCTACGTATCGTGATGAAAACTGAAAACCGATTGCTCCAAGGTGAGAAGAACCATCGACAAGAGATAAGAACGTGACATAATAGGGGGATCGTAAACTGCCATAAAACTCTTAGAAGACAACCGCCGTGGACGTGGGGAAGAAGAAGGAGGAATCGGGGGACGACCTAATGCGATTAACCGTAAATAAGAGTTTTTACGGTGAGGATTAAAAGTTGCAAGAGTTTTAAAGGCCAAAATCTTTTGGGAAGTTACCCAACTCACCTTGAACAATAATATAAAAAAATTCCTTTAAATATTCAGATGATGTTATTTCCCTCGATTAACGAAAAGAGCCCCGTCTGCCACCTCCGACCGCCCACCTCCAACCTTCTCGACTTCGCACCTCCCACTTTGGTCTTCATTCTCATCTGCCATCGCCATCACCATCACCATCACCATCACCGTCATCGATTTAACATCCCCAATGGTCCATCTCGCAGCCACCGCTCCACGAAAGCTCTGCCTTGGTGGAAATCCTCGTCGACGTTGCAACCACCACCAACTAAAGAAGACGATTTTCATCGGAAGTAGAAACTATATCGTCGTCGCCCTGCTCCTATTGCCATTCTCCACCATATCCGCTTCAACTGTCGCCTCCCTCCACTCCAATTTTTCTGCCTTCTTTGAAGAAGGTAAACCCAAAAAAGTTGTATCAATTTATAAATTCAATCAAGTTATGATGGGAGTGAAACAGGGTCGAAATTGTTGAAATTAACCTGGCAATCCTAACTCTTTTATGAAACTTTGTAGACAAATGAAAATAATTGTTGTTGTTTCTGTTTCTTTGACAGGAATCGTTGAAAACAACATGGATAGACCCGAATCTAAAAATGCCATTGGGGAGGATTTTTTGTAAGGACTAGAGAATAGCTTTGATGATGTAAGTGTAGACCCGATCTTGTTTGATCATAAATATTTGGATTCTCATTTGTTATTTTCTGCATAATTTTTTGGGTTAAATTCAAGATACAACAAGGTTTTCATATACATGCTTATTATAACATCCTATATTCATTTCGTCTTTGCTTATAGTGTTGTTTCTTAAGGCTGCTGGGTGTGGGCAATATGTTATTATATGTTATCACACCCAAAGTGTCAACCTCATCATCCTACTCATAATTTTGGTGTTATAACACACAAGGTGGAAATGGCAACACCAAATAACATGTAATAATACCTATCATTTTCTATTTAATTTTGTAATTTATTTATATGTTTGTAATTTCCATTTTTCTATTTTGTTTTATTTTTTTAATTTATGTCATAATATTTTTTAAAAAACATATAAATTAAATAACACATAATTAAAATAAATACTAATTAAAAACTACATTACAACGAAAAAAAATATAAAACGACATTACAACAAAGAAAAAAACATAGACCCAAAAAAACATGGACAAAAAAAAATTACAACGAAAAAAAACACTAATCTTCGTCTAAATATTTCTGCTCAATCTTCGCCTTCGTTTTTCGGAGTATCTCCAACTGTCTCGGTGACGAATTCTTATCGCTAGTTTGAAGAATTGTCAAATCTTTCGCAATACGATCGTCATCGGCTTCATGATGCAATAACTCCAAATGATCCCGTTGTAACTCATATCTTTTACGCGCGATTTCATTGTGCTCATCAAATTTTTGTTTCACTTCGGCTTGCTCTCAATGTATACTTTCGGCTTCATTTGCGTGTTGTTGAGCACGCCTCGCTTTGTCGCGGCCTATCGGTCGTCGAGGCGGGGAAATCTCTTCAAGGTCGTTTAAGTCGTGTGCTATCTCATCCGTGTCCACATTGAGATCGATGTTCGTGCGTGCGCCTGAAACATCGACCGAACCCTAGTCGTGTGACCTCTTCGACTGTTGTTCTATATATGTGTCCGTTTTATTCCAATTTGGGTCTTCCTTGACAATCTCCTAAATTTTTTCGTGCTATAAAACGTGACGGTCTCGATATGATATTGCTCCACCGCCGCTCTATAAACGTCAAAATCGGTCGGACCACTTTGCTTGTACGAGGAAATTTTGTTGTAGATGGAATTGAACATTGTGCACTTCTTGCTTATTTGATTCCATTTGCTACTCAACATGTTGTGATTTTGTTACTTTTCATCTTTATTCAAAATGGTACGAAATTTCCCGAGCACAGCTTCCCCAAAAGCAACTCTTCGCATATCGTTTCCTTGTGTTAGATTTTTTGATGTCCCGCACCAAACCACCGCCATCAGGTATTCCTCCACCGCGGTCCACCATGTTGGAGGTTCGTCTTCCGAATTCTCCACCGCAACCACTTTCCTTTTCCTTCGTGCTCTCCCTTTTTGGGTTGTTTTTTTCTGCTCCCCTCGCTTGCGTATCGGGTACAGTTTGTTGGGTGGGTTGTGGTTGTGTGGTATTTTGTTGCATTGTAGCAAATTGGTTGAAAAGGTTTTGTGGAAGGGTTATAGTGAATTGTGGTAGATGTGAGGCGGGATTGAAAAAGTTGCCTTGAGTGTTGAGGATGTTCGCGTACATTTTATATTGTGCAAAACCAAGAGGCGTAGGTGTATTTTTGTTT